ATGTTTTTGGGCGTCGAAACAACTTTCCGCCATACATTTGCTTCTAGCGACTTGCAATGTTTGCCCCCTGACGATCCCAGAGTTCTTTGCGCAAAAACGGGTATCCGATTACTGGCAACTCATTCGTTGCTCTGAAAAAGGCCGATTTCACGAACTGTTTGTAATCGGCTTAGTGCTCGTAGCCTCCCACAAAACTATATATGATACAAAATGTATAAAAACTTTGGATGATTTATCTTTTGTCTGACAATTTAGTCTTCCAGCACATCACGGTGAAATTTACCTCACCGTTTGTTGCTTTTCTCTCTGTGTCAAAATGAGTCTTCTTGCGAACCATTCACATGAAAATGTGTTCACCCTACAGGTTCATTTTCATATGAAAGGTCTTGCACCAAGACTCGTTTTGAAACAGAGGCACAAGGTGACTCGGAAATGGCCTATAAAAATGACGCGCCCCATACCTCTTTCTTTTCCATAAGCTCTTTATTTTTCCGGTCTTCGTCTCGGATCATTCTGTACCACTCTCTCTCAGCCTCTTCGCTCGGCGCCTCGCCTCTCTCCATACGCACGTAACATTGTTCCAGCTCCTGTTCTTTTCCTTTCACTTCCTGTTGAAGTTTCATGGCTGTGGCCTGATGCATGGACAGTTCCGAAACAAGTGCCATCATTTTACGGGTGGTGTCCTTTATCTTTGCTTGATATTCGTTCACCTGGAGATCAAGAAAACACAGTCATAAATGAGGCATAGTATCGAGTGCGGAACATAAGAAAGGTAAAATTACCGATCCATCTCAGTTTTTGTTGAAGGAGTACAGCTACTGTCGCTGTATGAGGGGCTAGTCCGTTACAGACTGCTCCCCCACTCCCACCCCTCAGAAGTTTATCGTTAGGGCCAATTCAGACGGTCAAACTTTATCGCACTTGACTGTGGCGTCAGCGCTGTACGTGCTGTCCCAAACTGGTACACAATTTTCATCGAATAAATCGTCTCATGACAGTTTTCGTACAGTACCGGCGCCAATGGATAAGTTTAGACTGCAAGAAACGAGTCCTGTCGTAAGCTTTACGCGAACTTGTCGTAAGCTTGTCGTAGGCTTTTCGTAAGCTTGTCGTATGCTTGTCTTAAGCTTTTCGTAAGCTTGTTGTAAACTTGTCGTAGGCTTTTCGTAAGCTTGTTGTGGGCTTGTCGTAAGCATTTCGTAAGCTTGTCGCGGAGCGAAGGGGCTTTTTTAGTGTAAGAGTGATGTGTCCTGCGAATGAGCAAACTGAAATGACCTGAACGGGCAAGCGAAGGAATACAGATCGGTCGAACGGTCGAACTTTAATAATAATTGAATTCTGAAGACAAACCTTCTTTGCTAATTCTAGAGTATCTTCTTTGCCAGTTTCCGACTTTTTCTTTGTTCTGTCCGCTAGTCTTGTGACTTCTTCAAATATTAAATCCTTCTCTAGTAGTTTTTCCTCTTTCTCAGCGAGCCTTAACTCCAGTTCTTCTATTTTCTTGGCGAGCACCTCGGGCTCAGGGTCGTCACCTCCTAATAGCCGAACACGATTCTCATCCGAAGGATCTTCGAGTTTCTTCTCAAGCATGGCGAGTCGTTCCCGACTGGCCACGAGCTGTAAAGGAAAATCCACGATTAGCTTTTTCATTGAAAAATAGCGATCATAATATATCCGAAGACTTGACGAAGATTTGTAGAAGCTAGCAATTATGACAGCAAAATGTGTCTGGAGACGGTGGTAAAATAGATTGTTAATCAAAAAAAATCAAAACTGGAAAATTTACCTGTATTTGTAAGGTAACCAGCTCGTTGTCTAAAGCTCTCTTGTTTGGCATGTTCTTCTGAGCGACTGAAATGGATCGCTTTAGCTCATTCACCTACGAGAAACGTATGCGGTTTGAATTAAGACGAAATCCGAAAGGAAATCGAGCAATTTCAGTTTTTACTGGACAAAAACCTTGTACCGGAATAACTTCAAGTATATTACAGTCCTTTTTGCATTTTCTAAAAGCTAAACAAATAAATATATACAAAAAAAACAATTTCCTATGGGAACTCCAGAAAATAAATTTCAAAGTTCAGAGAAATTGTGCAAACACAGGTAAAATGTCATCATCAGTTTCATCTCACCAGTTCTTTCAAGTGTTTCTTATAAACTTCAAATTTTCTTTTCGACATTTGGTGTTTTTGAAATGGTTTCTTTTGAGAAGATATTTAAAACAGTTGCACTGAAGTTTGCAATATAATACAAATAATCTCGGTACAAAGTTTTTGTCCACTTGTTCCTTGAACCTGTGGTGGATTGCTTCTTAAGTATTTGGTTGAGGCCAGGTCAGTTGAAAGGCGAAAAAAGCAACAACAACAAAAACATACACAACAACTTGTACACGGGTAAAATATCACCAGCTGCTTGTCCAGATCCTTGATAAATGCAGAGATGTTCCCTAATCTATTAGCAAACCTTTATGAACTCAGCTAAATACCAAGCAAAGTACAAAATTTCAGTGAGACCTAAATCGAACTTGAAATCTTTATACCCTCGCCATATTCCTGCAACTAGTCGAATACTGTTCTACAGATCCACACAAGATTGTTGAATTTCTTTGATTTACATGTACATGTAGGTGTGTTTCACCCCTTCATAACTCAGGCAGTTTGTGTTTTTAACCACAAACTGTTGCTGCATATAACACACAACCCTGTACACTGATGAAGAATGAGCAGGTCAAAAAACAAGACTCTGTTACCTCCATCTTTAGGAAACGTATCTCTTCTTCTCTAGCTTTTAATTCCACGTCACCATTACGAATCATCGTGTCTGCCAAGAGAACAAAAATGCATTTTCCAAACCTTGATTATTTCGTTCTGGGTTAACACACATGACAAAAGCTGAAGGTTCAGCTGACTTGTACGCAAACTAGTTCGTGTACATGCTTACATTTACAGTTTGGCCAAGTCGCTTCGTTTGCTCGTAGTTATATGGTTTGCTTCCATGAGGTTTCCAATAACTACTTAACTAGTCCGGCAATCTTTTAACCCAAACCGTAGTTTCGCCCTTAAGTGTTACCTAGGTCCAAATGAAGCCTGTATTGATTTTGGTAGCATCCTACCATCCCTGAATTTTACTTAACAAGGCAGTATTCTAAACTTAAATCCGCTGTTTTCACGTACTTTTTCAATGATTCTTCTCTGGCAAACATGAGTAAATTAATATATAGAAATTGAAGCCTTTCTAACCTTGTATGTTGAGCTTCTCATAAAAGACACAGACTTCTTCGTTTGTCTCGATAAGATGTATTCCCCTGTACATAAACAAAAAACAAGAGTGGCGAAAACGGTCTTTCAATTAAAAATTAAGTGATCCGTGGACTGTTTCTTGAAGGTCCAGAGTTTTGCTAGGCCATCACTTGAAAGAACGTGCAGCTGAGGCCCCGTCAACAATACGCTGGAGGAATTTGAAAACGCAGCTTTATTTCTACGGTTAGGCCCACCGTCCACACTAATGTGTCACGAAAACGGAGCTTTTCGAAAACGCTCTTCAAACCGGACGGGAGGAATTGAAAACCGCGTGTGGACGGAAAACATTTTGAAAACGGAGCTTTTCGAAAACGATTTAGTCACGATAATCATGTGCTTTACTTGACCTAGTTTTCCTTAAGAACTAATCCAAAATGACCGGTGATTGTTGCGTTTTTAAATTCCTCCAGCGTAGCGTGGACGGAAAACATTTAATGCCGCGTTTTCAAAGATAATTATTCCTTAACAATAGAACTTACATGTCATTTCTTTCCTGTACAGCACTCTCGTATCGTTTCCTAAGCTGGACCATGTTTTCTTCTGCTTTGTTTATGAGATCGTTTAGTTTCGCGATATCCAATCTCTGCGGACACAGACAGCGAGTGTTACACTTCAACTTACTACACTGCATTCAAAACAGGTCACGATTCAGATACACTCTATGTTTTCCAAGTACATCCATAGCATAAAACGTTTCAGCACAGAATTTTATCCCGCTGGGATAGAAATATGCGCGCGATCAGAAACAAAGATTGAAGCTCTTACATGTAATGGAACAGAAGGCGTTGCATTTTGTCAAAGGCCTGGGAGTCATGTCTTGGTTTTGCTATTGGCGACTGTTCATGTTGAGATAAGGGACGACAACTTTCTCTTTCAACCGGGTTTTTTTTTAATCTACACAATCTATGTACTTACCAGCTGTTCCCGTTTTTCTCTATTCTCTTCCTCAGTCTTTGATCTTTTACTCATCTCATTTCTTAGACTGTCGCGGATCACAACAGCATTATTACGCTTTAACCGGGCTTTCTGCAAAAGTCTGGGAATAAAAACGGATAACATAATATAAAATATGACATAAGCATTAAAAAAAAATTCCACATCTTAACACGAAAGAAAATAAACAAAAGAAATAAAGAAATGTTTCCAAGTGTATAGCATATCTTACCTGTCTTTTGCATTCACTTTAGACCGCAGAATTTCTATTTCGTTTTGAAGTATTTTAATCTTTTCCCTCATTTCTGCAGCTTTCTGCGATGAAGAATGATCATTAAAGCAGTAAGTCTACAGATCAAAATAAACCAGCGTGCTCATAATCGTTCTTTACGTAGCCCCATGAATACTTAAGAAAATTCACGAAGAATTTAACAGAATTTTTGACTACAATGGATCCTAGAATAATACATGTACCTAGAATTTGGTGATCTCGTTTGGAATATGAACTTCTCTAAAAATGAACTTTTCAGGGCGTCTTAAGCTTAAGTTGTGAGCTTTGATATCACATGGTTATGCCCTCAGCATTTGCGCCTGGGGTGTGTGTGTGTGTGTGGCGGCGGGGGAGGGGGGTGGGGATGCTCGTCGTCTCGCTTAGGAGTGTAAATCAAAGTTTTTTGGTCACACTTTAGCTTTTAAAGTGTCTTTTAGGGTACACTCGAAGAAGTAATGATTAAAAAAACGCTTTCATTTCCGCTCAGTTTCAGGCTCGATTTCCGCCGCTTTCTTGAGTCCCGTTTTCTAGCGCGGCGGCTTCTTTCCTAAAATGCGGCTGGTAATTGAACCTATTCCATTTTAAGTGGTATCTTTTAGGGGTCTAATAAAGCTCGAGCCACGCCCAGATTGTTCTCCTTTAGGGGTTTAATTCAAATTTTCCGACGAGTTTCATAAGGGAGTTCCCCACCGCCCCCCCCCCCCAGACATTCGCATGTACACAACTCACCTGTGTACTTGTCTGAATTAAGTTCACGCATTTATTGCGTTCGTTTTTGATCACATCATACAGTTTAGCGAAGTCAGCGAGCCTGTTGAGACAAGCAGTGAAATCAAATCAGTGAGTAACAAAGAAATTGCCTTTGCTGTAAAGGAGAAACTGGGGTCTCATTAATATTTTCAGTAGGAGGGTGACTGGTTAGTTTTCACAGACGGGCAAAACGTTTCGAAATGAACTTTTTTTTTATAAACTTTCCTCTAGATGGTCAAACCTGTAACACTCTTGCTAATTATGTTTACAAGAGGCCCTGCGGGACATCTGGTATTTTC